GCTGACTGAGAGTGGAAACCAAAACAGAACCACAGAAGGGTTTGTTTTGGAAAGGACCTTAAAGCCCATCCAGCTCCAACCCCTGGCACAGGCAGGGACACCTTCCACTAGAGCAGCTTGCTCCAAGCCCCTGTGTCCAACCTGGCCTTGAACACTGCCAGGGATGGAGCATTCACAACTTCCCTGGGCAACCCATCCCAGTGCCTCAGCACCCTCACAGGGAAGAGCTTCTCCCTTATCTCCAACCTGAACTTCCCCTGTTTCAGTTTGAACCCATCACCCCTTGTCCTATCACTGCAGTCCCTAATGAAGAGTCCCTCCCCAGCATCCTTGCAGCCCCCTTCACACACTGGAAGCTGCTCTGAGGTCTCCACACAGCTTCTCTTCTCCAGGCTCAACAGCCCCAATGTTCTCAGCCTGGCTCCATACAGGAGCTGCTCCAGCCCCTGCTCATCCTCGTGGCCTCCTCTGGACTTGCTCCAACAGCTCCATGTCCTTTTTATGTTGAGGACCCCAGAACTGCACACAATGCTGCAAGTGGGGTCTCACCAGAGCAGAGCAGAGGGGCAGGATCACATCCCTCAACCTGCTGCTCACGCTCCTTGGATGCAGCCTAGCACAGTTGGTTTCTGTGCTGGGAGTGCACACTGAAGCCAGCTCAGGTTCAGTTTCTCATCAACCAACATCTTCCCAAGTCTAATTAAACACATTAAAAACAACTCTGGGAATTCTGATTGCACTCCCCCTTCCTGAAAAACTTCCCAGCAGCAGGTCTCAGTTAGGGCTTTTGCAGGAAAGGAGATAGCAAACACCTATTTTAAGGTTTCCTGGAGAGTGCATTGTGAACAGATAAACCACCCACTCCAGCCCTCATAACGATAACTCATCCCTCAATCTATCCTTTTACCTTCTTCCCTAGAGAAAGAAGCTTGGGACAAATTTGAACTGATTCAACGACACAGAAACTCCCAAAGAAAACAGAAAACAAGGAGCAACTTGAACACTGGTTTCCCAAGGAGCTGTTTCTTACGTCGAGTGACACTGATCAAGTGGAAGCCCAAAGCTGCTCCCATGATCGGGCCATTAGCACATCACTGAAGATTTTCTGGCACCTTCTGTGCTATTTTACCCACTAAAAACTCTTGTTCCTTTAACTCATGAAGCTCAGAAGAACTGAATCATCTCCAAGACCTCTCCTTCCCTACCAGACTTCGGAAGCTGCCAAGATGGAACTGCTCACAGAGAGCATGAGCCATAAGCCCGATCTCACTGAAATACCAGGGGTTAGGAAATGGTAAAATCCTACTTACTGCTTTACATCTACCTCCTGATTCTAAACGAATCTCAGACTAAGCTCCCTGCAGAATTGCTCTGCTTTCCCCACCACCAAGCTCTGCGATGTATTTGAGGAAAGTAGGTTAGCAATGCTGACAGGGCTCGTGAAAAATCAAAGCATCTTCCAAGACTCATTCCCAGGTCCTATTCACTCTTCTTCTGCCCATATCCTCTACCTGCCCTGCCCACACAGTCCTCCTCTGACTGAGCACGTTCCCCAAGCCCTGTTAAGGGCTGTTTTTAATCCCAAACTCTAATAAAGCAATGATTCAAGGCCAGGTTGGACACAGGCTTGGAGCAAGATGCTCTAATGGAAGGTGTCCCTGCCCATGGCAGGGGTTGGAGCTGGATGAGCTTTAAGGCCCCTTTCAACACAAGCCACTCTTTGACTTAATGAAATGAGCCCAAATTCCTAGCTCACCTCTTCTACTCTAGGTTACAAGCTTCCCAGGAAAGGGGAAACTTCCCCTGGAGAGTCCCCATCACACAGCACACGCCTTGTGCCACACTGAGAGCCACGAAGCAGAAGCAAATGCTTTAAACTCTTTCTGAAAAGCAAATACTGCAGAGATGACCAATTATCATTAATCATCATGCAACTGAGCAAGCAAGGAGAAACCATATGTATTCTAAAAGTCAGCCCACCTCACAAAAAACAGGTCTTCAGATGTCACTGATCTCTTTTGCCATTATCTGAGATCAGGGAAGGAAGGAACCATTAGAAAATGCTTATATTATGGCAGAAAAAGCCCAAGAAAGAAGGAACACTGATGATAACGAGTGAGAGGATGATACTCAGCAGGGAAGTGCACACAAAACTCATGGAATCATGGCACGGATTGAAGGGACCTTAAAGCTCCTCCAGTCCCAACCCCTGCCACGGGCAGGGACCCCTTCCACTGGAGCAGCTTGCTCCAAGCCCCTGTGTCCAACCTGGCCTTGAGCACTGCCAGGGATGGGGCAGCCACAGCTTCTCTGGGCACCCTGTGCCAGCGCCTCAGCACCCTCACAGGGAAGAGCTTCTGCCTAAGAGCTCAGCTCAGTCTCCCCTCGGGCAGGTTGAAGCCATTCCCCTTGGCCTGGCCCTTCACGCTCTCCAATGCATCCCATCCAGATGCGAAAAAGAGTATTTCTCTATTAAAATATATATAAATTTCAGGACAATTCCTTTAGAACTTTATTGCTTCTGATTGCCCATGGCTCTTGCTCTTCAAGCCAAATCACTGTATTTCACACTAAACCCTCATTATACAATCTCCAGCACAAATAAACCACAGATACAGACCCTGGAACCAGCTTAGGCAAAAATCAAAAGCCCACAGAGGGCTAGATCAAAAGCTGGCTCACACCAACTCTGTTCTTTGTGCAGGCAACCAAGAGCAATTAATGCTTTTAATGTCAGTTTACCCCTTTTGGCTCTATAAATCAGAATAGGCAGCTTTTATGAGTTAACAAAGGATCTATGCAAGGTACAGCTTAACCAGACCCACAAATTCAACTGCACTTCATCAGAAACAGGTATATTTAGGAGCACTGCACTCCATGAGCAGAATTATCTGCAGGGTGTACACAGAGAACATGCATTTATCAATACAAACAAGGCTGGCACACCAGGAGGAGGTGATAAATCATACATCTGAAAGAAAGGCCACTGCTTCCAGTGGCTTTGTGAGAGTGGAAATGTGGAGCAAACACTGCAGGGAGGCAGGAAGGGTGTAGGGAACATACTGGATGCTTCCCTCTAACCTCATCTTAGCTACAGAGACTGCAAGAACTTAGCACACTTCTATTGCACTTCTTCAGCAGGAAGAGAAAATCATTCCTCAAGTGTATCTCCTGCCATCACCCACTTGGATGGGTCCTTCAGGAGCATCTCTGTAGTGTGTCACACCCTCTCCCAGGCAGCACAGAATCTCAGCCTGGTTTGGGCTGGAAGGGACCTTAAAGCTCCTCCAGCTGCAACCCCTGCCACAGGCAGGGACACCTTCCACTAGAGCAGCTTGCTCCAAGCCCCTTCCAAGCCATTCCCCTTGGCCTGTCCCTACAGGCCCTTGTCCCAAGCCCCTCTCCAGCTTTCCTGCAGCCCCTTCAGGCACTGGAGCTGCTCTCAGGTCTCCCCTTCAGGAGCCTTCTCTTCTCCAGGCTCACCCAGCCCAGCTCTCTCAGCCTGGCTCCAGAGCAGAGCTGCCCCAGCCCTCGCAGCATCTCCGTAGCCTCCTCTGGACTCATGGATGAGGAGCACGAGATGCCTAAATGTTCCATCCCAGTGCAGTGCAGTGGACCATGGAGCAGAGAGCACCCCCTCAGCACTGCTGTTGTTTGCAACTGGTTTCCAGCAAATCTGCCTCGAGTGGGAGCAGAGCACTCAGCGGGTATCCTGGCTGCTGACATTTAAAGTTCATGTGACTAAGCAGAAAGCAAACCATGTAAAAGTCAACCCTGTTTTCCCCATCCTCCTGCACAGGAACAGCTGGATTGGGTCAGTGATGCTTTGGCTACCCCAGTGTCTTCTCTGCAGCAAGTGTGGATACCTAGGGGAAAAGTTAAGCCCAGGGCAGCAGTACAGTGCCATTTGCTGAGCAAACTCCCCAGCCCATAACTGTGTGCAGCACAGGGATTTCCTCAAGTGCATGTTCATTTTTAACCATCAGCTGTATTGCTTTAACCTGCCAGAGGGGAGACTGAGCTGAGCTCTTAGGCAGAAGCTCTTCCCTGGGAGGGTGCTGAGGCGCTGGCACAGGGTGCCCAGAGAAGCTGTGGCTGCCCCATCCCTGGCAGTGTTCAAGGCCAGGTTGGACACAGGGGCTTGGAGCAAGCTGCTCTATGGAAGGGGTCCCTGCCTGTGGCAGGGGGTTGGAACTGGAGGAGCTTTGAGCTCCCTTCCAACGTAAACCAGGCTGGGATTCTGTGATTCCATGATTTTACACCACTACACTGAGGTATTGGATTGTTTTCTATATAAACGCTTTCACAACACTAGACACCATACACAGAAATAAATGGCTAAGGTAGGAGCAGCTCAGACCATTCTGCAGAGCACAACACACTGAAAACCAGTATTTAAAGAAAAACTGTTTCTATTTTCCCTTTACAAAAGGCTGCAACAGAAACTATTTGGAAATGATTTCCCTGTCCACAGGCACACGGCACAAACTCATGCCAAGAATCCTGCCTTTGCCACAGCAGGGATTCTGACCCAGGCAGTGAACACAACGGTGCTCTTCACCTTCTTCTTACTATAAACCAAGACTAAATCATTTGCTAAGGAGATACTGGGACTCATAAACACTTAAAAACCCCTTCACTCTCACAGCTCCTTATGGGAGCAGCACATTCCTGCTGTGTGCTCCACTCCAGCCTGCTGAGCACCTCAGCTTCATTAACTTTAGAAATCAACACAACGCAATGCACCAGACACTGCTGCTGGAGCATCACTTTAGGCATTTCTTGACCCCAAAATCACTTGCTGCTTTTAAAACATCATGTGATCCTGTACCAAAGGTCATTTAATATTATGGGTCCAACCCACAGCAAACACCAACGCTTCAGAATCACCATTTGAACCTCCACAGCATCCAAAGCTCTGCTGCCTGTGGAGGGAAAAAAGGTGTTTGGAGAAGTATCTAAACTCAAATGAATAGCGCACATAAAGCAGGAATTGATACCTCTTGGATCTGAGCTTCCTTTGGATGGAGATAATCCGGAGAGGAGCGTGCCTAGGGCTGAAGGGCAGAGTCTTCACAGCATTCCACAGCTCTGCAGGAGACACAAGAGGAAGAAAACACCGTGAGGATCCAAAGACAAACCTGTCGGATGGAAACCACAGCTCCTGGAGCAATGAGAGGTCTTTACCTCCACCAGAGCAGAAGGAGCAATGGGTACATGTAAGAAGTGCAGTCAGAAAAGGAGGAGCGATGGAGATGAAGGATAAGAGGAAGGGAGGGAAGGGATGCCGGAGCTGGCAACCAGCCCTGCAGTTGGACAAAGACAGCATGATTGATGTGAGTGGTCTGCAGCTCCTGCTTCCTACCTGCTGTCATTAAACACAGATACACAAACACGCTGCACCTCTCCTGCAAACCAGTATCTCCACTTCCCTTCCTGCTCTATGGAAGGTGTCCCTGCCTATGGCAGGGGATGGAACTGGATGAGCTTTAAGCTTCCTTCAACCCAAACCACTCTGGGGTTCTATGAGATTAAACATGAGCACCTTCAAATCACGACACAGAATCCTCCTCCAGCTCCATGCTACAGCTCAGTGACTCGGGGTGCAATACCCACCCCTGCATCCTGCACAGAGTCTACACCAGCTATGCTTTGCCTACACTCTGCTGAAGAACGGAGTAGAAACCAGCAGCAAAGAGCATCAGAAGGGGATGAAATCAGAACAAGGGTCCCCTCAGCTTTCAAAAAGGAGAAAACAAAGTTCAAGCTTCCACTTACCTACTTGTTAATGAGGATCTGAGACAGAACGGGATTTAGCCCAAGTTTTACACATCCCTCCTACACCACCCTTCCCAGCTGACATAAAAGCTCAAAGGACTGAAAACAAACACCTCGGGATAAGTACAGCACAAAAAAAGCTCTTGAGCAGCTCCACATGCTTTATGCATTATAGAGAGGAACAGAAACCCCACTGTTCACAAGGCAGGACCACTGCTCCTTCTAACAGTTGTTTATTTTAATCAACCCGCTACCAAAAGGTTTACATTAAATACATATCCCATTTCTCCTGACCACAGATCCAGGGTTGGTGTTCCCTCAGAAACACCCCCGGGGAGAACACAGGACACAGAAAACCACAGAATCACAGAATGGTTTGGGTGGAAGGGAGCTTAAGGCTCCTCCAGCTCCAACCCCTGCCACGGGCAGGGACCCCTTCCACTAGAGCAGCTTGCTCCAAGCCCGTGTCCAACCTGGCCTTGAACACTGCCAGGGATGGGGCAGCCACAGCTTCTCTGGGCACCCTGTGCCAGCGCCTCAGCACCCTCACAAGGAAGAGCTTCTGCCTAAGAGCTCAGCTCAGTCTCCCCTCGGGCAGGTTCAAGCCATTCCCCTTGGCCTGTCCCTACATCCCTTGTCCCAAGCCCCTCTCCAGCTTTCCTGCAGCCCCTTCAGGCACTGGAGCTGCTCTCAGGTCTCCCCTTCAGGAGCCTTCTCTTCTCCAGGCTCACCCAGCCCAGCTCTCTCAGCCTGGCTCCAGAGCAGAGCTGCTCCAGCCCTCACAGTTCCATGGCTCTCTTTTGGTTGCACGTCAATGAAAATGCTGAGTGCCTTTGGGAATGCTGATCCATCCCATCTTTCCCTGCAACAGAACATCAAGAGAGAGGCTCTTCAAGCCCAGCAAATGAAACAGCATGAAATCAAAAATTAATAAAAGGATAAATATTCATTTTTACTGAAGTTTCTTGAATCTCCTGCTGCAGGAAACCACCACCTGAGATGGCATCCTTACGGAGAAAGAGGAACATATTACACTGATGCTCCAAAGTCCTGTTAATCCCACCACTTGCCACCAAGACCACGAATGCACTCAGGGAAACAACTCAGCAACATTTCCACCTGTAGCAAAGCTGCTTGACTTCTGTATTTCCACCTTATAAAAAGCATATTCAGTACTTGCAATTCCATAGAACCATGGAAAGGTTTGGTTTGAAGGGACCTTAAAGCTCATCCAGTTCCAACCCCCTGCCACAGGCAGGGACACCTTCCACTAGAGCAGCTTGCTCCAAGCCCTGTATTTTACCCTGTTTTTAGGCTTTTGACTCCCCTTTCTGGTCCCCAACACAACACATCCTTAGGAGAGAGACGAAAGACCAAGAGAATTCCAGCAGAAACAAGGACTTGACAGATCGCATCACATCAAGCTCTGCAGGGGCAAATTAGTGTCTCTTTGAGCACATTCTGTACTCCAAAGTAGCCTCAGTGCTTCGAGAGGTACCAAATATAACCCAGCCCCATTTTAACTCCCTTCCAGGAATACACACAGCCAGTTCTCGAGGATACGTGGGCTGCAGTTTCACTTCCAAAAGCTTCGGTAACATCTGATGTAATCAAACAAATGGCTCCTTTTGTGGCAGGAAAGAAGCAGAAAATAACCTGGGGTCAAGGAAAAGGGGGAGAAAACCACCTCCTCCAGGTCTTCCTCCACCTTTAGTGACCTTGGATAAGCACCATGTGCAGCTACCCCAGACTCAGCATCAAGCACGGCATCGATGATCATTCCTTCCACTGCTTTCACACTCCCAATGCCTTTGCCATTATGCTTTCATTCAGCAGAGCAGCTTTGACAGCTCCATTTGCTTCTCAAGTCCAAGTTTTGGAACATTTTTACATCTTTACACTTGGAAGGAAGTCAATAAACTCAGCTTAGCAAATAGTAAAGGTTCCCTGGATGCATCCAACCCTGCTATGTGGGATGAACACATGAGGGTTTCAAGGCACCACCTCAATTTAGCAGGAGGACACTATGAAACAACCTTAATGCCATGGGGTTATCAGGAAGTTCACCTTTGGTTCAGCTCTAGCTGCTAAAGAGACAAAGGGAAGTATTGTACCAGCTCCCATTAACCTTGTCAGTGGGATCATTCTTCAGCTGCAATAGCATCAATAGCTTCTTGCATTGCGCTGCCACACAGACGTGCAGTAAAATCACCCTTATGGAGGTGGGTTTTGGTCCCTTTTCTGCTTTAGCTTGACCAGGAGTCAGAATGATTAGGTACATAATGCCTGGACAGCAGAGAGAAGCTGCACTGAGCTGCCCTCCATCACCGTTCAAAAACCAGTCATAAAGGGTCAGGAAATAATCCAAACAGGTACTAACACACCAGAAATGCCCCTTCCCTGGCAGTGTTCAAGGCCAGGTTGGACACAGGGGCTTGGAGCAAGCTGCTCTGGTAGAAGGTGTTGGGAAGGGGGTTGGAACTGGATGAGCTTTCAGGTCCTTTCAAACATAAATCATTCCATGATCCTATGAAATCCAGTTTCAAGTGGATTTTCCACTTCAGCGTGTGAGAAGATGCAGGACCATACTTTCCTTCATGCTGTATCCCCATCTCCTACCTCTCTTCAGCTGCAGCCCTGGCCTGCCACGTTCTCTGCCCACAGTCATGCCAAACACCACAACACTGAGATGGATTGGCAGAAACAAAGCTACTCCCAAGCAAGGTCTTTGAGCAGAAGTACAGACATTCATTAGAGAATGAGGAAAACCAAATACATGTTACATAGGGAAAACAGGAGGAGGGATCAGATTGGAAAATTTAGGGAAATACCATACTGGGAGGCTCTGCTGGCACCACCATGCTCATGGAATCACAGAATCCCAGCCTGGTTTGGGGCTGAAGGGACCTTAAAGCTTATCTAGTACTAACCCCTGCCATGGGCAGGGACCCCTTCCACTGGAGCAGCTTGCTCCAAGCCCCTGTGTCCAACCTGGCCTTGAACACTGCCAGGGATGGGGCAGCCACAGCTTCTCTGGGCACCCTGTGCCAGCGCCTCAGCACCCCATAGGGAAGAGCTTCTGCCTTACATCCAACCTAAAGCTCCTCTGTTTAAATTTCAACCCATTATCACCATTATTCTTCTGTAATTCCCATTTTTTTATCCGTGACTTTTGTTCTTTCCACACAAGTGGGCTCCAGTGGTAGGAGCTGGGTACACACATTATAAAATAGATTAAGGATTAATTACAATGTGGTGATTAAAGTCCTGCCTGGTAGATTGTAGATGGCTCTGATACAGCAGTGTTAGGAGAATTCAATACAAATACACTCCACAACTACTTATCAACAGGAGATAAAGGCATTTTCTAAGTGTCTGACATGCTGGAGAGTAAAACTAAACATGATCCACTGAGCAAACAACTTGATTCAGTTGCAAAACTTTCCTATGAGCCAATTTTCTATCTCAAAAGCCTTCTGTACCGCTTGAGTCCCTCGAATGGCACAGCCATCCATCAGGACACCCACTGAGACCAGGACTTTTTAAGGAAGAAAAAACATTAGGAGCTAAAATCCAACAGGACACGGTCTAACGATGCTTGTCTGGAGCCAGGCACTTGCCTTTAAATCTTATTCCACAGCATTTTGGGTTTAACCCTTTGAGAATCCAAACCCAGCAACATGGAAAGGGATCTTGCGGGCTCCAATAAATACAATTAAATTGGCTGAGATTGGAGATAAAACGCCTCTTGGGGTAACGGGGAGGGATGACACTGAGCTTGTGTAGCCTCACACAGGAGACTTGTCCTTGTATCTGCACGTTCCTCTGGATGACAAATAAAACACAGAATCCCAGACTGGTTTGTGCTGGAAAGGACCTTAAAGCTCATCCAGCTCCAACCCCTGCCATGGGCAGGGACCCCTTCCACTGGAGCAGCTTGCTCCAAGCCCCTGTGTCCAACCTGGCCTTGAACACTGCCAGGGATGGGGCAGACACAGCTTCTCTGGGCACCCTGGGCCAGCGCCTCAGCACCCTCCCAGGGAAGAGCTTCTGCCTTATCCCCAATCTAAACTTGCCCTGTTTCAGTTTGAACCCATCACCCCTTGTCCTATCACTGCAGTCCCTGATGAAGAGTCCCTCTCCAGCATCCTTGCAGCCCCCTTCACACACTGGAAGCTGCTCTGAGGTCTCCACGCAGCTTCTCTTCTCCACCCTCAACAGCCCCAATGCTCTCAGCCTGGCTCCATACAGGAGCTGCTCCAGCCCCTGCTCATCCTCGTGGCCTCCTCTGGACTTGCTCCAACAGCTCCATG